CATAATCGCACTGGCCCGCCTGGTGCGTTCCAGCCTGGGTTGTCAGACAGTTCCCACTTGCATAAGCTCAGTTCTGTTTGCTTTTGCTTTTGTTTACAGGTCCCAGTTCTTTGATTTCACTTTTCTCCTTTTATTCATAAGTTCAGGTCTGTTTTAATTTACCTTTCTGTCTTGGTTTTTAGCTAGAAATATCTACCAGAAGAAAGTAGCGCAATCAGCGACAAAAACTTGCGGGAAGCTGTGCAAAAACCGCATCTCCGCACCGGCAGTCAGTGCACTGGCCAATTATTTTACGTTTATTTACAGGCTCCAATTCTTTGATTTCGTCTTTTATGCGTTTTTGCTGTGCAGTGCTATAGAAGCGCTGCTACAGCCAGCAAAAACACATATTGTCGAGAGGCTGTCTGTGTGAGCGTGTGTGTTTTCGGAAAGCGAGTGCATTTTGTCACCCACTTTCATCTCAGCAACCAGGAAATCTGGGAGGCTGAAACTTTGGATATATGTTCCTACTCCGAGTGCTATCCTTCCGCTTTGAGATCTTCCCTCATGCGCGCCTAGACCTCGCGTACGGGACCACCAAAGAAATATGTTGGCGGGAAACGATTTCACGAATCAGGCAAGGTAGAAAGCTGAGACTTTGCAGGGATATTCTCTATGCACGTGCGAGCTAAAGATTTTAAACTCAGCTGTCGAGCCCCCCAAGCAGCTCCAGCAGCTCAAGCAGCTCCTCAACCCAAAAATCGTTGGCAACTCGGGCCTTAACCGCAACCGTATATGTATATGAACGCGCATTTTTTGACGAATGACCGTTCAAGCAATACTTCCACTTTTTAGTGAACTGGAAATTTGCATTTTTCAAAAAAATTGCATCTGTCATTTTTTTACAAAGCGAGCATTTACCAAAGACCGAACTTCATGCAAAAAACCGGTAATCATGCACTTGGATGTCCGTGCGGCTCTATAATGCACCATCTTCATCCCAACTGATGCCCTTCCTCCTGCATGCCGGAAGGGGCCAAAGCACGGCCAATACGAGCCCAAGTGTTAGGCTACAGCGTAGGGATCATTCTCGCTAATAGTGATCTGCGAGTTTAGTGTAAAAACACATGATCACACCGAAGAGCCTGGTGCGTTCTAGCCTGGGTTTTCCTCTTATTCATAAGTTCAGGTTTGTTTTAGTTTACTTTTCCTTGTAGTGCTATGTTAGTTTACTTTCCTCTTGCCTAGAACTCCTGACTAGTACCCTTGCTCCCCCTCTTCATTCTGTCCCCCAGTCCCTGCCTCCAGAGTCGCATCAGGCATCCATCACCCAACACCCCCAACCACTGTCACCAATTATCATCCTGAACTCCCGATCAGTACCTTCATCTCCCTCTTCTCTCCCAACCCCACTCCACCCCGACCCCAGCGTACATCCCGAGCCGTACCGGGACACCAACCCCCAGCACCTTCCAACTACGTCCAACCTTCCCATCCAGGCAATTACAAAAACCCGGCTCGGCCCAGCACGGCCCGGCCCGGCATGGCTCGGCCTCGCTAGTGATCTATGGGACTTTGGCCTTCCAGCGTTTCGCTCTGTTACTTATGCCAGCGCTATTTTGCGGCATCGCTCGCTGGAACTCGGGCAGGAGCGCTGGGTAGCGCTGCCCAGTGTCTGGCGGCTGGTTCACGTGGCTGGGGGGTGATGGGTGGGAGGATTGGACATGGTTGGGGGGTATTGGTTGGTAGTTGCCTAGATACAGCTCAGAGGGCGCGATTGAGGCCAGAATAATGGGGCGGAATGAAGTTGACAAGATTTGCTGAAACTTATGCTTAGCTGAAGCTGAGGGCAAATAAGTTCGACCGGATTTACTGAAGCTTATGCTTATGTGAAGCTGAAGGCAAATAAGTCCAGTTGGATTACACAAGAACTGCAGACAATTCCAAAGTGTTGCCTCTTGCAGCCTGCAACTGGGCACAAAAGTTATATTTTTGTTTTTGTTTTCTCCAAAATCTTACAGGAGCAAAGGCTGACTTCATCCCCAACCATCCATTCTACCCTGTTTTTGCCCACTTCATGGAACTTATTTGCTCTTAGTTTCACCTCAGTATCAATTTCGTAAATACGGAAGCCTAACGACGGGTTTTGTGGATCAGCTTTACCTAAGCACCAGTTTCATAAAAACGGAAGTCTGATGATCAGTTTTTGTGGGACTTTACCTAAGCATCAATTTCATAAATAAAGAAGCCTAATGACTGGTTTTTGTGGAAGAGCTTTATCTAAGCATCGGTTTCATAAAAAGGGAAGTCCTAGGAGCACACTTCTTCATCCTTTTCCTTCTTCACCGTTCCCCTCTCCCCTCGAATGTACGTTACTTAGTCAATCGGCAAAGGACCTACGCCATTTAGTCCCTATATCCACCTATCCTAGCCCCCCTCCCTGCCTCGAACGAAACCTGCCACATATCATACCCACTTTCACCTGACATATGCAAACAGCCTCCATCCGCCGTGGGATAGCCCCACCTACCGTCGAAAGAAAAAAATTTTCGCGGCTTGTGTATAGGCAATTACAGTAACCCGGCTCGCCTCGTCTCATACACAAGCCGCAAAAAATTTTTTCTGCGGACGGCAGGTAGGGCTGCCCAACGGCGGATGGCGGCAGTTTGAAAGTGGCAAATGGGGTGGGGGTGGTAGGTGGCGGGTTTCGTCCGAGCCAGGGGGAGGGGCTAGGATAGGTGGGTATAAGGACTAAATGGCGTAGATCCTTTGCCGATTGACTAAGTAACGTACATTTGAGGGAAGAGGGGAGCGGTGAAGAATGGAAAGGATGAGGAAGTGTGTTCCCGGGACTTCCCTTTTCATGAAACTGATGCTTAGTTAAAGCTATTT